AAGTCCAGTTGTTTTTGTATTGAACGCTTTTTGAATTCATCATGTCCTGGATGACTGAGAATCTTCACCAGCATAATTGAGCAGTACCATTTTTAGCCACTTGATGGCAGCAGAGTAGTAGTAGCAGTAAGGCATACCGTTGTATCATGTAATAGGTAAACGTGGTTATAATGACAAGTTCAAAAAAGTTCAAGATAAAAACAACTGGACTTTATTTATTATACTTTATTGTTTTTTCCTCTAACTTTTTTTTATTTACCATGTCCTGGATGACTGAGAATCTTCACCAGCTATTAATGACACAATCGGCCTGCCATAGTCCCCCCACCTTCATTCTGCTTGGAACCGTCAAACCAGCTGCACCGCTCCGGCAAAATGCAGCTAATTTGACCATTAAAGTGCATTTATTAAGCAAACGTTAGACTGAGACACACCTTTGCTATAATTTTGAGCAAACAAATAATTGTTTTAGGTGCTATTCTTGTTAATTTTCAGAGAAACGAGCCGCGTTCCTCCTCCCTATTTTCCTCCTCTGCGTGTTCACGGAGCACCAAGACTGCAAAACTATTTTTGAAATGCAGCTGATTTGACCATTAAAGTGCATTTATTAAGCAAACGTTAGACTGAGACACACCTTTGCTATTATTTCGAGCAAACAAATAATTGTTTTTAAGTGTTATTCTTGTTAAATTCTTGTTAAAAGTCCTCCTGTGCACGCTCCCACAGCCGCCATTTGGCAGCCAATCGATTTTTGGCACAACACCGGCCCACATTTCCGGGTTGTCAGCAGTGACACGTAACAAACGCGACGCGTCAGCGGTGACGCATAATAGATGCGACGTATATGGGGAAGCAACATATTTATGGATTTTTTCACTTTATTAGACATATTTGGACTGATGCGACTTATAGGGCGGTGCGACGTGTACAACGGAAAATACGGTAAATTAAACATTTTTGAATTGCTTAAAATGCCTGACCAGTCCACTGTAAAGTGTCTTACTTTTCTTTTTAACCTTGACCACAATGATTTTTTGCTCTGTCTGAAATAAATGTAACACTCAAGAATCAGTGCATGTAAGTTTTTTTTGTTGTTTTTTTTTTCATTTAGCCTTTATTTATCCAGGTTAGTCTCATTGAGCCACGAGAACTCATTTTCAAGAGAGACCTGTTTAGGGAGCACATGGTGGGGGTTAAGGGCCTTGCTCATGGGCCCAGAGTGGGGCGAATGAGGGTGGGGGCAAGTGTGGGTGTTTCACCTACCCCACCCACAATTTTTCTTAAAGGTTAATGAAGGAATAATAGGGCAGAGACAAATGATAGGGCCTCACCAGATGAAGTGATCCAGGTTTGGTTTTCTAATTTAAGAATATAAAGGCCCTCTCTAATGTGTGTAGGTGGAGCTGCACATTTACAATTTAATAGTAATAGCCTTTATTCAGCACAGTTGTGAATGATATTAAGCTGAAAAGATCGGGAACCCTTCACTTGGATAATTCACATTTAGAGCAAAACACAACTTTTGTAAATCCTAGTTTTAGTTTGTGCCCTTTGCTCTAAATTAGGAATAATTTAAACTAAACAGGTGAAATCAAGAGAAATGCAAGAAACAGTCTACCTGATCTTAACACGGGAGTTTGTTACTAATCACCATAAATATTCACCCCAAGTCAATAAATGTAAGCTTCAGGCTAAGTGCTTATGGCAATTTAACAACATTTTGTAGCAGCCCAGTGTTCTACAATGGCAGCTACGAGTAAGATTCAGGTGTAAACTATTTTTTAAACCAGTGAACCTGCTAATTATTTTAAGTGTATGTCTTAGCTCATTCTAAACACTTCTGTGTTCTGAATCACAAACAACGTGACATGTCTGGTTTGTCAAGTGTACGTGCATCTAATGTCGTCTACTTTGACAAATATGTGAAAACACAATTTTTTTTTCAAACAAAACAACACAACAAAAGTTTATATGTGTATGTATATATATATATATTCAAACCTGAGTGAGGTTGGGTTTGTAGTTTGCCATCTCATGCTGTATGTAGCTGACAGAGTTGATGATATCCTGACTGGTTGTGTACTGCTGGGACTGAAGCGGCACGGGACCATGAGCGTACCTTATTTGGAAAGAAGAATGAGTTGTATCATCATACTAAAAAATGATCAATCAAGACTTGGTGACAGATATGGCCATGTTTTATGTATACTGTTTCGCTAAAACCCATTAGTAAATCAAGAAGTATATACTGTGACTGTATTTTCAATACAACAAAATGACTTACTCCTGAGAATTCAAAGCAGAAACACAATATGAATTAAAAAAAAGACTGTCCTGAAGAAAATCACATCACTTTTCATGCCCGTTTTAAACTAAAATCATCTTCTGTAGAGAAAGGACAGCAATATAGCCATTATGGTTTAACCTTGTAAATATTGTGAACAATCTCCTGCAATTTTTCCAGCTACCATGATGTGTTAGAGCTCGGAGTGTGTGCTGTGAACGACTCTCAGCTGCTACCACATCAAACTTTTGCTCATTAGCTGCAATTTGATTGACTTATAGCCATACTTGTGTTGGCTAAGGTTGATTAGCTGTGGCAGCCATCCTGAACTGAGCAGACTCTAAAAGTTCATCAGGTGCAGAAGTACATCCAATGATTACAATCAGTTTGAATTAAAATCCATCCAGTGGTTCATGAGACATTTTGCTAACGAACAGGACTGACTGACTACGACAGTTAAAGCTGAAGTTTTAAGCAAAAATATTTCACAAAGTTCAGCATTTATGCTGCACGGGGACGTCGCTCAGTTTCCACCACACCAAATATTAGCTCGTTATCGTTAACATCCGCCAAGTTATAGACATTTTTATGTATGCAAAGGTCAGTTGCTTGTGACGGCCAACTTAAACTTGGTGGATTTCAAAAGATAAGCAGTTAAGGATGGACACCAAAAGGATAACTTTCAGAAAGTTTCATTAAAATCCGTCAAGTTTCATGAGATATTTCACAAATACAAATGAACACAGACAGACCAAAAAATAGTAGTTTATTTTAGTATTCATTCA